TTTTAATTATTCACTGATTTGCTTGGTCATTTTCTGATATTCTCTGTCTTTATAACCCTTATTAGAAACAATATCAGCTTCATGAGGAAGTTTTCATACAGTACAGTGTTAAATCAGAATTGGGTAAAATAATTTACATTTTATATAAGAGTCAGAACAACATTTATAGTGTAAACTGTTTACTATTTCAATAAGACTCCAATACATAGTATAGACATAGCAAAAATTATGCCATTATTAGATATCAATACATGTCTTGAATTCTTACTGAGAGCATTACTCTACCTTAAGAGTCCTGATCCTGCTTTGATGGGACAATACAATATGTGCTCTTCCACCCCCTGAAGACAGGTCTGCTTACTTGTTCATATAGATTCCCATACATTACGGGTTAAAGATTCTTTTGTATGCCCATTGAAAATAAATCATTACTGTCAGTTATGTTTGTTCACAACCTACCTGGGCTACCTAAAACTCACATTTTTACCTCTTTCTGTAGATGCTAACTTTGGTAGCCGTCTGTTAGATATAAACTGGAGTGAGTCCATATCTATCTGTTTCAATGCAATTTGAGTTACACGAAAAAGAGGCTGAAAGGATGCCTTTTATTTGGCACATTTGAAGTGTACATTCATACAGGTGTTCTGAAACAGACATTTAGCATTCAATTAACAGTCTTAATAGCATTGTGGGATACTGTAATCTAATTTTAGCCCCTATGTGGCTTTTAAGACCTTTTTAACATCCATTAACATTATTATTTATGTACAGTAGCTAACCCATTAACAGATTAAACAATAAACCCAAGAAAACACCAAGACAAATTGCTGAACAGTAGATGTGATTAGACAAAAGTGAACTGGAATAGGTCCCAAATGATTGCATTTGTGAGTTTAATGAAATGACTGTCTCTGGAAAACAAAAGGCCAAGCTCTTGAGAAAAAAAAAAACTGACTTTATTTAATGCATCATTACCATATTCCTTTGCTGTAAATTATAGG